AGACAATACCATATGATAAATATTGTAACCAGCCTTTGGCCCCCAATAAGAGTATGCTCCAATAACAAAGTTGTATGCTATATAACCTGTGAGATAAATGCTGGTAAATTAACTTTACATGAAGACATAGATTTACCATTTTATTTACAGAAAAAAAAAAAAGAAAAAAAAGAAACAAAACAAAACAAAACAAAAACAAAAACAAGAACAAGAACCCAACTCCATCAAGAGCTTCCAACAACTGAACTAATGGCAGAAAGAATCAAATCTTATTTTCTGACATGAGAAGAATCCAGCAGCCACAATGAAGAATGAATGATACACACACAGAGAACTCTGATTGAAATTGAATAATGAAAGAAGAAATCATTGGTACTGAACTTATGCAGAATCTTTTCTAGGGATAGAGTACTGAATTACCTAAAACATTAACAACATAAACTTGGTCCGCCAAAAGCACTTGCACATCTTTTGAAAATCTCGAGATTTGATTCCAAATGCTGGATGCACCTACTGACCTGTGGAAGAAAAGTTCAGCACTACTTAATAGAATTTGAATGCTACTTATTCCAGTGAAGTAGCAACACCAAAGGTCATTATACCCACATGGAAAATCAAGATTGCGTATTTTTCCTTTCGTTTGGCCGGCCAAAAGGAGAAATTATTTAGTTTAAAAAATCGTAAAAGTTCGAAGATGACTAATGACTATGATTAAATAGTACATTGTCATGTTTTTATCACTCTTCCTCTAATTCCTTTTAACTCTTCCTAATTATTAGTGTCCTCTCCCCTTGCTTACAAAGCTTAAAAAGCTTTCTGTTAAGAACAAGTTAATGAGCAAATATTGCTTGAAAAGACTTTTGCAAGGGTTTGACAGCTACTTACTTCAAGGTTTTATTCATGGCACGTGCATCATTGCCAACCACCGTTACCTTTGATTCCTCTGAATCTGCTATTAAAATGTATTAGATGTGAACAGAAGCAAGATTAAACAACAGAACTCCACCATGAAGAGACTGCAAAATGACTTTCACTAATAAAATAATAAAATAATAAAGGGATCAACAAGCACAGAAAATATCATATGTATAAGTCAACTCCTTCCCAGTGACATCCATAATCTACGATTAGAGGATAAAAAAAAAGGATGGATAACCATACAATTTAACAAAAGGGGAATGTGTAAGTTATTTGACATAAGAACCAGAAAATTTCTTTGCAATATCATCAAAAGGTCAAAACCACCAGAAATTTATAGTAGACTACATTCTTCTCTCTTCTGGTAATGACAGTACATTACCATATGGAAACAGAAAGGCATGACAAATTCTTTCTCACTACCAATTACAGAACGAACTTAGCAAGGAAATTTACTTCTTCTCTTCTGCAATGCTGTTCCAAAAGGAATATGCCATGAAAGATATTTAGCATATTTAGATCATCTGTCTCAAGGTGTTTATTTTCTTCACCTGAATTGTTTGATTTTTCTTCCCACCACTCCTCTTTTTCCTTTCTTTCTTTCTTTTTGCTCTTTTTGGATCATGTTTTATCCTCCATTCCATTCTAAATACTAATGAGGATATTAATAACAGTAATAGCAATTTACAAGAAGAAAATTTGACAAGGAACAAGTACCTTCAGTTACTAGAGAAACGGTCCCCACAGAAGCTGGTGCCTTTTCGGATTCAAGAGGAGCAAATCCTGTAGTTCAAGTAAGGTAAATGATAAGCAATTGGAAAAAGGTGAGATCTTCAAAATCAGAATCTCAATCTCTTCTGACAGACCAAAACAAGGTACCTTTCAACTGCAATGGTTTCATTACAAAACCAAAAACAGCAAATGGAAGCATAAAAAATGCCTCTCCCCAAAACGCATAACGCCAATGGAAATGGGTTCCAACCTGAAAATTGAAAGGAGATAGATGATGGTTATCATGATATCATCAAACAATGAAAAGGTACTAAGAAAATGCTGATGTATGCCACTGGTGTTAATATAAAGATTACAAACTGGGTCAATATAACCAAGTGTACACTACACTGTAGGAATTTTCCTAATCTTAAATACCTTACAGTCTACAAAGATTAAAATAGAAATATTAAAAAAAAAAAATGACTACAGCATATCTAAACAGTTTTTAAAATCAATACATGTTTCTGCACAAATATATCTCCAACAGATATCTGAGAGAGCATTCAAGTTCAATTTGACTAACATGTTAACAGTAACAAGTTTGCTGAAATCAGCATTGTCATCAAGCAATACAAAAGAGAAACCCATCAAAGTAGTTCCTTTCACCAATTGTAGATTGCAGAAGTTTTTCTCATCTTAAATACTGTACAATTTTCAAATGCCAAACAGTTTACATTTTAGATAGATATTGCATTTTCCAAGATGTTGACAGCAGCAGGGGCTGCAACCAGAATCGCCAAAAGATCAGCTTTTAAATGAATAGAATGTAATTACATGTATTCCATGTAGATTATTCATTTTAAATTAATTTAACTGAAAATTACAGAAATAAGAGTAACAGTGATCAACAGTGCAAAAAAATTTAAGGTGTATAAACTTACCAATCCACCATATACATATCCAAGAGCAACTCCAGTGGGTATGCACATATAAAACATTGCAAGCCAGGCTGTTTTCTGAAATTATGAAAGAATTAGTTGGCGAGATTACCTAATCTGAAGAGAAAGATTGGAATTGCAGCTACTCATCAGTTAAATAAAGCAATAAATAAACAAACAAAAAACAAACCCGAGCAACAGGAGCATTGTCATCTATAAATGGAGCAGCAAGACTTATGAAAGAAGCCTCTCCAACACCAACCAACCTAAAATGTCAGGCCACATCCATATTTAACTATAATATGTAACTGAAGAAACTTATGAAACAAGGTTATACCAAAACCAATGATTGAAGTCATTAAAATTTTCACACTTACATTCTGCATATTGCGATAGACCAAAAATCAAATGAACTACCACACCCAGCTGTAGCAAATGTCCAAACTGATAATCCAACACCAATAAGCCTAAAGGGGTTGTGGCTGCAAGCACCAAAATATATTAAACTACAGATCAGCAACCCTCAACTGCAAGATATAGAGCGATAATTCTAACATGCATAATAAGATGTAATCTAGAATTTAAAGTGGAATTTTCTTTTTCATACTTGATGTTAAGCTATTTAAGCAGCATAGTGCATAACCTATTGCAGTGGACTGTCAAAATGCAGCTTCATGGTTTTATGGCTTATATGAAACAGCATAGACCACAGTCACAGTATTCCACACATCAGTGTTTAAATTAACCACTAACAGAAGGCGGGAAGTTCTAATCTATCAATTCCATATAAGAAAACATCTACATAAGTCTCTTATTGAAAACCACTCATAAAACATGCTTTGAAGATAGCAAAAGTGAGAAGCCATAGAAACCTATAACTTTCCAACATTAGTTATTAAAGGGGCTTACAATACAAAAACATATTGGAAAAACTTTTTCAAGCCTTTTACTGTAGACACATTTTATTAAAAAACACTAGCCACTTCAGACCATGCCAATATCAATAAATCACAACAATGTTTCCTGGAAATATAAATATAAGCTTAAAATAAAGTAAAAATGTTATAAAGGAAATAAAAGCCCTTGATACTCAATAGTCTACATTATAAGGAAAGTTGGTGTCCCAAAAGGTCAAACACCATGATGCAGAACGTTCTTCTAATCGATGCTAGTAGTAAACCAGTGCACTCAACAACAAAATGCTACAAATTGATGGAAATCAAAGAAGTATCAAGTTACTGAACCCTAACAGGGCTAATCACCATTCACATAGAACATCCTATTATCTCTAACTACTAAGGAATCAGAAGCTCCTTAAAACGTTTTGCTCTGAATTTGATGTCTCTGATACTCTTTCTAATTTTGGAACACCTCATTTTGCACCAATTTTAAGTAAAGTTCTATAACATTAATGCCAAAATAAAAACCTTAGACTGTTGACAAGTACTCAAGATATAACATCAAAGATGTTCACCTCTTTGCCAAGGAAGCAAATATTGGAGAAGCCACTAGAAGTCCAACCATAAATGCAGAAGATAGAACACCATCTTCAAAATTATTCAAGTCAAAATCCCCCCTGCAAGCAACATTTTGTACTAAGAAACCAAAAAAAAAGCATCACACTTATGAGAATTCCAGCATGTTGATGTGACTGTGTGTAGCTGCCACAAGTAAACTCCTAAGAAATAATGGATACTGACGTACTGCCCCAATACATATTCATGAAGCCCATATATGTGTCCATCATTTTAAAAGGAAATTAGCTGACTTAAAAATGCCAAACCTTCCCTTGACAGAAAATTCACAAGTTGAAGTTATATGCATATAAATGAACACATTTATAAACATACCTATCAGGACACTTCTAGTTGAGGCCAAATTACACAATATAAGTAATAAGTGGAAAAGGTGTAAGTGAAAATTGTGGAACTATTACATAAGTGATGCCCCACCTACATTTTCCAATTGATGAAATATGCTAAAAAAACAAAAGGAAAAGAAAGACCCTAACTGTCACTTTCATTTAATCAGCAAATAAGGATTTAATATCATGTGCATGGTTGAAGGTTTGGCAAGTTTCTTGACCTTGGAAACCTGCTGACTTTAAGTGAGCAAAAATAGTAATGCAATCAAGCAAAATTTCCAATCTTACTGAATTCCGCTACCCGAAGTGCATATCCCTTTATCATCACAAGTTCTACTACTTCCATTAACACCATTGCTCGCTATTGCTCCTCGATCCACATAATTTAACATGTTAATCACACAAAAGATAATAAGCAACCTGCAACCAGAAAGTGATAGAATTAGCATCTCCCAGAAAAGAAGACCAGGGAGTTTGATTTGCTTGTAAAAAAAAAAAACAAGTCTGAAACCTATAGGACATAATAGTTCATTTTTCATAAGGAAAATAACACAAACTCAAATTAAAATCTACAACAAACTACACCATCAGCTTTTCTCAGAATCCAGCACGTGTACTTCTAGCTAAAAACTGGTTGAAAAGTTATCAACTAAAAAAGGTTTGTTTGAGCACATGGTTACCGCTTCTGCCCAAACTAGATGCAACCATTACCAGAATAAACGTTTTTCCTTTTTCATTTTCCTACAAAACATTGTTCACTTGACAGCAAATAGCCCCAAAACCTAAAATGTCAAAAATTAACTCTGGAATTAGATGATCCGAGCAGAAACTTCATAGGGCAGCCAAAATCTGTTTGTTTGCTCTCTTATTTCCTTTTTGACTTTCTGTTTCACCCAAATTTTCACTAACCAAGTTTAAATATATCCTAATTAGGAACTAGTCCAGATACGAGATACCCATGTTATCCAAAAGAAACCCTAATAGCATTTAGAAGTGCCCCTCTCTTCACTTGCTGAGAAATATAACATGTCTGGAATTGCACAAACTACAGACAAACCTCAACCAGCTATCAAGACGAACCACAAAAACCGTTTTCCCTTTCTCGTGTGTTTTCTCTGAAACCAAACATCACCCCTACTTTTCTTGACGCAACAACGGTCGGTCTAATCGGATTCTTAAAAAAATTAATACAATTTAACACAGAAAATAAGGTGTAGTCCAGTTGATTACCGTTCTGGAGAGAACCACGATGGAGGAGGAGGAGCAGGAGCAGGAGCAGCTGAATCCTTGTCCGCCATAGCTGGTCGAAGGTTGAATTGCCGAGCTGTGGTTTCTTTCGACGGATAATTTTCTCTTTTTCGACGGTTGGAGTTTCATTTTCTACGGTATAAACACTTTTTTTTTTGTTGGAAAAAAAGCCGTATAAACAATTTTTTAATAATTAAATAGTATTTTTGTTAGAGTTTTTTTTAATATTTACTAATAAAGTACGTATTAATAATGCAATAGTTTTTTTTATATAAATTTATATAATAATAAAAATTATT